AATGTTGAAGAGATTGGATGCTAAATGTAGATCAAGGGAATATGACCAAACTGCTTTCAATAGAGACTATAAAGTGTAAATCTCTGTAGTGGTAAATCGACAAAAAAATGGATGGCAAGATTCATAAACAACACAAATAGACTGGATAATGGCTAATGTAGGACAAAAAATAATAATTATGCTTTACTATTTGTGCAAAAGGAGCTTGGGTTGGGTGGATGCTTCCTTTGGTTGGTGTAACGAGTGTGTAAACAAGGTGAGTGTATGGGCTCTATATTATTTTTATAATTTGGAAATATTACCATATGTTATCTTTTTTCAATAATTTGAATATTACAATATTGTTTCTTCTATTTTTTATAATTTGCAATTTTACATATTGTATCTTTAGTCTATTCTTTTGATAAAAGATACAACTATTTCATATATACTTACTAAGATTTATGCAACTTCTAATCAGCTCTAAAACCTTATTTTCTTACATCAGCATCAATGATTCACGCTCAGACTGGACATAATTGCAGTGAAGATAGGAAGAAGAGTTACAAAAATAAGAATGATTTATCACCTTATTATTGTTTTATATCTTATATTGGTATACTGATAGTTTTCTGTTTTTTTAATGCAGTAGAGAACATGATTTTATTTGAATTTTTGGGATGTATGCTTAGAACGCTAAATGATCTTTAGGTTAATATATTTGATCTCCTTTCCCAAGTTATAACTATATATGCAAGTGGAGTTTGCATATGGAAATTATGCGTGGTTATTGACAGAGCGTTAACAAATTATTAAACTCACAATGAACTTAAGCAATGACCACATGCAATGGGGAATCAAAGTTTACGAAAGCAATCACTGAATGGAGGACCAATTAAATAATAGTATAATTTAATAACATGCTCGTGTGGTGTTCAAGACAAATCCCTAAGTTGAACAAATAGATTATATATCACTATTGAAGGCTCATCTCACACAACTCTGGTGTGGACTAAAACGATGCCACGAATGAAGGGAGGAATAAAAAAAGTACAAGCGGGGGGGGGGGGGGAGTAAGCCGCATGGAAGAAGACCTAATACAGAGAAGTTCGTTTGCTACCTATCTGGGAAGAACAAAAGTACGAACCCTTGCGACGCCCGGACAACACTCTAATGTCTCTGGAAATTTCTATGACAACAACTTTGTGGGCCCAAATTCATGGAAAACAATGTAGTGGGGTTGGAAAACGGCGCTGTCCTATGATATTCAGCAGACGGCATCTTTGAGATGATTGGAGAGGAACACAAGTCTGGGCATCGAGATTGGGGGAGACAAGAC